AATGTCCCTACCAATTAAACCATTCTCTCCCAAAGAAGTAAGACAACAAATCAAAAACCTCAATCTACGCAAAGCCCCAGGATATGATCTTATTACAAGCGCCATACTGAAACAACTTCCAAAGAAAGGATTAGTATTATTAACAATCATTTACAATAGTATGCTCAGACTAGCATATTTTCTGCTAATGTGGAAATTTGCCCAGATCATGATGGTGCCTAAACCCGGCAAACCTATTAACGAAGTCAGTTCTCATTGACCAATCAGCCTACTGCCAACACCATCAAAATTATTCGAAAACTACTGCTCTCCAGAATAAGCACTGACATAGATCTACCAACCATCATTCCTGACTTCCAGTTTGGATTCAGGAAACACCACTTGACAGTACAGTAAACAAACCGAATAGTAAATAAAATCGCAGCAAGTCTCGAGGAAAAATCCTTCTGCACAGCGGCATTTCTTGACCTAACCCAAGCATTTGATAAAGTATGGCACTCCGGTCTACTATATAAAATCAAAAACTTTTTTCCTACCCCATATTTCCTATTATTAAAATCTTACATTACAGAAAGACACTTTCAAGTCAAATACAATACAACATACTCAAACAGTTACTCAGTGAATGCTGGCATACCACAGGGAAGTGTGCTGGGACCATTACTCTATCTAATTTACACCTCAGACCTGCCCACCACAGAAAAAACAATCATAGCAACTTTTGCCGACGACACGGTCATACTATCAAGAAGCAAGAGATCCTCAACTAGCATTACAGTACTTACAAAACCACTTAGACCTCTTCGAACAATGGGCCACCACATGGAAAATCACAATTAATCAGGCAAAATCTGTTCAGACAACATTCACCACCAGGAAAACAACATGCCCACAAGTCTCCATCCAGAACACACCAATTCCTGTGCAATCCGAGGTAAAATACTTGGGACTTCACTTGGACCAAAACTTAACATGGCAAAAGCATATTAAAACCAAACATCAACAAATGAACATGAAACTCTGTGAAATGTCATGGCTCATGAACCGTAAATCAAAATTATCCTTAAAGAACAAACTGATACTGTACAAATGCATAATTAAACCTATATGGACATATGGAGTTCAACTGTGGGGCTGTGCAAAGCCATCAAATACACAAATCATCCAAAGGCTACAGTCCAGAGTTCTACGAACAATCACCAACGCACCCTGGTACGTCTCCAATCGGACGCTCCACAACAACCGGCAAGTCCCATATGTAACAGACGAGATACGAAGATTAGCCCTACTCTACAAACGACGACTACAAGGACATGACAACAGATTAATTGAAGAAATAAGAAACCCTCCCAACGTTGTATGGAGACTGAAGAGACAGTGGCCATCTGACCTTCCGAAAAGACAAAATTAGGTTAAGCAATAAATTCTAGCATCAACTGTGTTTAAGAGCATCGACACTGGTTGATACTTTTAACCAATTTACTTATTGCTCCTTACTGTAGTGAGTAGCTTGTAAATTCGCAGAGAAATAAAAATAAAAAATAAAAGTGAATTTACATGCTTCTCACATATAATTTCCTTATAGGCCCATGCAACCAACCGGTTGATCGCGATCAACGCATTGGACATGCCTGCTATATAGTATTGAGAATTAGAGGTTATTATATGCCCTTTGTGTTGCAATGAACATACAAAACCAACAACTCTATCCCATGACCACTCTGGTCACCTTAACCCCTAGCACACACTGTCACTCCACAGTACACATGATGTTCTGTCAGATGCTAAATATGTCTGTAATTTAGAATTTGTAGTTTGATACAGCTGAATTAATTTCCCTTATAAGTAATCTGTACATCCCTCAGTTTAAACATTCTAAATGACAGTAAGATGGGAAGGGAAGAAGAATTTGGTAAAGACTACAGTGTTGAAAATGTAATTGTGTATTATGCATGTATACTTAATTTTAGCTGTTATATACAGTTTATATGTAGTTACTTATTTATATGATTTAAAACTTATCAAAATTGCACCCATGAAAACATTTATATAACATTAAACTTTGGAAATGCTTGCTCTGATTCAGTACACAGTTTTTTGTCTTCACATCTGCTTTCCTAAAATGCAAAGATTAAAATATACAAAAGCAATAATTTTCCATATTGTTTTGTATGGGTGAGAAACTTGGTCTCTGATATCAAGGAATGAACATAGACTGAGGGTGTATGAGAAGGGTGCTGAGGAGACTATGTGGGAATAAATAATTAAAGTCTGGAGAAAGCTATATAATGAAGGGTTCCATAATTTGTTTGTCTCCAAAATATTATTAGGATGATAAATCTGAGGAGGATGTGATAGTTGGGACATGCAATATGCATGGGAGAGAAGAGAAATTCTTATGGCACATACACATCCTAAAATCCTTATCTCATTTAGTAGACTCGACCAGTTCCACTGCATGCTCTGCTGATTACGGCAAAGTCTAAAAACAAGGGACAGTAATCTGTTAAAATTTATTGAATCAGTGTAATCCTAACATCAACATATGGAAGAGGGATCACAGTTCCATTAATAATATTTCAATATTTTCTGTGAAATTATATCCCTGAAAATGCTCATTACCCTGAAGACATTCCTTGTAAGCATGTTAAATTAAGAAAATATGTTTATATAACTTCCTTATATAACTGAAAAATATTATTTATACAAATATATACATGTATCAAAATGGCCTCTCTTGAATTTGTGATATTTTATATATTACTGCACTGTTTAATGTAAAATGTAACTTTTACAATTTATTTTATACATGTCACATTGGCCAAATAGCTTTCCACTCCTATCTTATAAATGACCTAATGTACTGTAGTCCCATAAACTGAGGAAATATACATATTATTCTGACATTTATTTTAATGTCTGCTACAAAAGCTTTGAATTAAATGTCTCAGAGAAGATTAAGCTGATAATATTTCACAAACATATTGTGTCAGTGCTGCAACTGGACACAAAATGGCTACTTCTTGACTGTGGTATAACATGTACCCTGTATCTAGCCATCTATCTAAATGGCAGACTATCTACAGAAGAAGCTAACATGTAACATAACTGTTACTGTTTCCAGCTGAAAATGAGACTTGATAAGAATGACCTTATACGTAAAAGTGACTGGAGAATGGAGACTTTATCAGCTGTTCAGCAATGTTATGCTGCCACTGATGCTTATGTAAGTAAAATATTGCATACAAATACAGCAGTTCATTATTGAGGTGTTAATGATGTCTGTAAGGGCATAACAGTGACTCTGAACAGAAAATCATTGTGTCCACCCTACAGTTATAAATTGTCATAACTTATAGTTTGTGTGTGTTAAAAATTACTAGGAACTATAAAATTGTAGAAATAATCCAACAGCTGTTTAATGTTGGGAATTCATATAGCCAACATAAAAGTTTCTAATTTATTCAGCACTACAGAAGTATACACACACACACACACACTATTCATATTTTTTAGATTAAGACCCATGTACAGAACTAAATACCCAAATACATTCTAAAGGGCTCTGACGATGGTGTATAGCACTTAGAATTACTGGGTTTTCAGACTTCGTCCTTTGTCCGGTATTCTAAAAATTAGAAAACACAATGTTTCGGAAACTGAACCTATTTCCATCCTTGGGTGAGGGTGGAGACACTTACTCTGTTTGGTCTCTTAGAGTGATTAAGGTTAGTGCTTTCTAAGGGACCCAACAGAGTAGGTGTCTCCCCCCCTCCCTCATCTGAGGACGGAAACAGATTCGGTTAACCAAAACGTTGTGCTCTCTAGTTTTTAGAATACGAGACAATGGACAAAGTAATTCTAAATACCCAAATTTATCAAAATCACTATAAATAAGCAAATCCAAAATTTAGAATATAGTTAAAATGACAGTCTTAGAGTTTACCATCAGAACAGTAGAGAACTTTCAGAGAAACTGATGAATTACTGATCTCTGTCATTGATGTAGAGTCATGCCATATCACATGTTAGAGCACTGCATGAAATTGAATGAAACCTGACAAGTAAACCCTAAAAATTATACTTCATGACATAGCTTCAACAGACAAGATCTGGCAACTGGAGGAGTGACAACTTATGATCAGCAGCAAGGTGTATCCATTTTCAAAACTTAATCCCAACAGCTTAAGTCTTCTGTAACCTTGAATTAATTTGTTTTTTTTTTTTTTGCCAGAGGGGTATGGGTATTTACATAGTATGGGTGAACCTCGTGACTTTAAAATTTTACTGCCATATTAGTGCTCGTAACCACAGAAGTTAATTTGTAAAAACAAAACGTAAAGCCTAACCAAAGTCAAAGTTACATTGCAAATGACAGTTGGTCAGTCAGTCAGTCAGTATGTCTTGTTGTCGAGCCCCATCTGGAGGCCATGACCAGTTATGGTCTTGTTTTTGTGGGGTTCCCTCTCTGATGAGAGGATGGGTCTGGCTCTTGTACATGCTGCTGGCCGTTGCCAGCACAGTCTTTCTTGGGTTCGAGTCCTTTTGGACTCGCGACCATATTTTACTCTCTCAGTTTTGAGACTTCCCTTTTCATTGCCTCCTACGACTTGCAGGGTCACGGTGGAGATATTCGACCCTGCCTCCACACAGGTTTAAAGCATAACCTTGTAGACTTCTTGGAGGAAAATTCTAAGGTCTTCAGTGCAAACAGGGCAGATAACATGGCAGTAACTTTTAAGTTACTTGGGTTACCCACTAATACACAATGGAATATGTACCACGTCTTACATGTGTACATTTTTATTTTTACAGGCTTCACTGCTTTTGTATAATTATATAAAGATGAACCCTTGATGGCTGGACTAGTGCCAAAAAATGTTATGGACTATGGCATATTAACCACATCTGTGAAATAAGTTCACCAGTTTCTTAAAAAATATGGGTACTATAGCTAAAGTATTGCAAGCTGGCAAAATGAGTTACGGATCTGCCCTGAGACTCCAGCAGTTACTGGCTGATTGTCATAAAGTATCAAATGGGATTCAAGATACACTCATCTTGGTTGAACACTTTCCTGTATATACTGTTGGAATCAGATCAAAGGATTATTCCCAAGAAACTGAAGAAAAGTTAGTGTCACTAGGTGCCGATTTCTATCGAACAAACAGAGGTGGTCTCATAACCTTCCACGGCCCTGGCCAGCTTGTTGTGTACCCAATTCTTAACCTCAAAAACTATAAACCTAGCATACGTTGGTATGTCAGTCAGATTGAACAGACAGTCATTGATGTATGTGGTAAATTAGGGATACAAGCAGAGACTTCGCCTCATACAGGTGTGTGGGTTGGTGACCGCAAGATATGTGCCATTGGGATTCATGGTAGCAGATTCATCACAACACATGGGTTAGCTCTCAACTGTAACACAGACTTGGATTGGTTTTCATACATTGTGCCTTGTGGTATTGAGGGTAAAGAAGTTACTTCTTTGACAAGAGAAATGGAGAGAGAAGTTACGATTGAAGAGGTGGTACCTGTCTTTCTGAATTCTTTTAGTAAATTGTTTGGATGTATTGTTTGTGATTTCCCCAAAGAAGATGCCGATCAAATATTTAAAGATATTAGGAAAGATGACAAGACTTTAAATTAATGAGGGTTTTGAAAATTTCATAAATAGAACTTTATGTTAATACAATTTGTAGTCAGTTTTCATAGTTGAACCTTACAAATATTTCCTGGTAATGATTTATAAATAATGGTAAGTGCTAGTTTCTGTACATTTTTATATGTCATTAAATTGTTTCTTACCGTGATTTAATCAGTGTGTGTAATATGCTTTCGATGTGAGGGGGTAAATAAGGAGTTCTTGGGAGAACTCATAGAGCATACTTTCCTCTGTGTACACACTTCCAGTCCTACAAATCTGGTTTTGTTTATGTTATATATGAGGTAATGTGAGTTTCTAATCCAACAATAAACGGAATTTAGCTCATAATGGGCTCTTGGCAGATAGTCACAGCACTGAATCCTTCCGCAGTCAGAAGATTCTATAACTTGCAACTGTAAATATGTTATGAATTGATGTGGATTTGAGGTTTTGACTTCTGGGATGAGATGCTGTGTAGTAACCAGCACAGTGAGAATTAGCACTAAGAATTAGACAGAAGTGAATGTCAGTTTTCTGCTCCAGTCACTTTACCCCAGGGGAAATCTCATATCCCTTTCTGTTGCATAGGTCTTACGAGGAGCGTTCAAGTTCTAAGGTCTCTGATTTTTTTTCTCAGGACTGGGAGCAGATAGACACATGCAGTTTAGTTTAAAATACATGTGCACTCTTTGTGAATACGTGACAGAGATGGCAGCACTGTATGGCACACAGAACTCTAGTGGTGGCGATGAGAGTGAGGAGTGTTTTTGACACCTAAAATGGCGACGTTTTTGTTACAAGAACAGCGAGTAATCATTTGTTTTCTCCATTTGCGTGGTGCGACACCCATTGAAATTCATCGCCAGTTGAGTGAGACGTGATGGTGTCATGAATGTGAAAAATGTGTGTTCATGGGTGCGACAGTTCAAAGAAGGCCGAATGTCGTGTGACAACGAACAAAAACAATCTCGGCCTTGCACCAGCCGGTCTGACAACATGGTCGAGCGAGTTGAGAAAGTTGTTTTGGAGGATCGCCGATTGAGTGTGAAAAACATCGCCTCCAAAGTTGGCATTTCCATGTGATCTGTGCACACAATCAGGCATGAAGACCTGCGAATGCGGAAAGTGTCCTCCAGGTGGGTGCCACGAATGCTAGCGGACGACCACAAGGCTGTGCGCATGGCAATTTGCCAGGTGATGTTGACATGTCATGATGGCGTGAATGGGACTTTCTTTTAATCAACTGACAATGGATGAGACATGGATGCCGTTTTTCAGTCCCGAAATGAAGCGCCAGTCAGCTCAATGGAAGCACACAGACTCACTGGCACGAAAAAAATTTCGGGTAAGCACCAGTGCTGAAAAATGGTGGCCATGTTTTGGGACAGCGATGGTGTAATCCTTACTCATTGTGTTCCAAAGGGCATTACGGTGACAGGTGCATCCTACCAAGATGTTTTGAAGAACAAGCTCCTTCCAGCACTGTGAGAAAAACGGCCAGAAAAGGCTGCACGTGTGCTCTTTCACCAGGACAATGCACCAGTGCATCGGTATACGTGATGCATCAGTTTCTTCGTGAAAACAACCTTAAAGTGGTTTCTCATGCTCCCTACTCACCTGACCTAGCTCCTAGCGATTTTTGGCTTTTCCTAACGATGAAAGACACTCCGTGGTCACACATTCACCAGTTGTACTGCTATTGCATCAGTGATTTTCCAGTGGTCAAAACAGACTCCTACAGAAGCGTTCGCAGCGGCCATGGAATCATGGCGTTGACGTTGTGAAAAGTGTGTACAGCTGCAGGGAGATTATGTTGAAAAGTGACAGAAGTTTCAAATTTTTTGTATGATTATTGTGTGAGAAAAAAAAAATCGGAGACCTTAGAACTTGAACGCACAACGTACTGGAGAACCCATCCAAAACCCACTGTGACATTTTAAAGAGTACCATCTTCTGGGATGTAATGCCATGTAGTCTAATAGAAGTCCACTGATGTTTTTGGGACCTATACTACCTCTGTCATCAGGGTCAAAGAAGGAAACAGCAAGGAGTTACTATTGGTTACTACATGGCATCTCATTCCAGAAGATTGTACTCTTCACAACTGCTGTGAGAACCTCATATCTAACATAGAATTATTAAGTTACGATTCTCATGCCATCGAACCTTCACTATGCATGATACTTATTCAACATATCTGCAGCTATCCACTGTATCTGAAAGCCTGGGAACACACTACGCTCTAGTGACAAAAGATCCACTTAACATGGCAGGAAGTGTTATCAATGTGAAACAAATACTTACTGCACAGTTGCTATAACATGCTACTTTGATAGCACCTAATGTGTATCATCCTCACAATTCATTTCTCTTAGATTCATAAGCACAACTACATGCACTCATGCTGCAGTCATTGCAAGTGCATTGTGAAGCAAAATATGAAGATTGCCTGAAGAGGCTTGTGTTCCCATCTCTGAGCAATATAGTGACACTACAATGAAACTCTCATTTAAGGTTTCTTTCGGGAGTAGTGGATTTGAACACTAAATCAAGGAAAATATTAAGTTAAAGGTAAAGTTGTCCCTGTGTTTAATTAAGCACCATGCCATGAAGAGGTATGGGAGAATGGAGGTAAGTGGTCAGTTTCACCCTGTAGTTGCTTTACTCCCCAGGAAAGAACCCCCAGTGCCTATTAGAAAGGAACAGGAGGAAACTGAACAATGAGACTGTTGACTTGGGATGACTGAAACTGAACATTAAACAGGGGTTCCACTGTATGCTTTAGTAACTATGTAGGCAGTATGTCACTTCTTAGTAATTCAGACAATACAGATACAAATTTCGATCATACTTTAGATTGGGTTTGTAGGGCAGGCTACCTGGAATGGAGAAGGATGCATTTGGGTTAATGTTATCCTACAAAAGAATGATCTAGAAAAAAGTTACATAAATGAATGGTATGGGCACACCTCCGACCAAAGCCTCGGAACAGGACATTTGCAAACCAGAAACTCTGATGTAATAATCCTCCAATTAGATGATGACATATTTCTGTAATTATTATTCTTAGTGATATAATTTATATTTTCTGAAGAGCTATTTCAAAGATTTAACTTGCTCCCTAATCAGCCAAAATGCTGGACCCTACATTCTTTAGAACTGTTGTTTCTCCAACCTCAGACATCCATACAGCCATTTTATTTTAACAAAACTTTCAATAACTAGACTATATAGAATTGGATGGATTAGAGGACAATGTTAATGATGAACTGGAAAGGATTTTGGAGGAGGTGGTCATGACCTGAGGTATTATCCCAGGATTTCCTGGAGCGATTCAGGAAAAACATGAAGTACTGAGGATAAACAATGTCTCAGCTGAGATCTGAAGTAAGCACTTCCCAAATATGAGTCTAGAGCATTATCAATATATCAGCCTTCGTCTTGTACAGTTGTCATGTTGTCATTAGTGATAGGGAATTAAAAAGTACTAAGTCACGACTTTTAATTATTCATAGTCTTTGAGTTTCCAACAGTAAAACAAGGTACATAAAAAATTGCGACACTTACCTTAAGAATTGAAAGGTACCGTTGCTGAAACAGGTCTGCAGCCAGGACTCCCAAGATGTATGAGGCATTATGCAAGGAGTTCTTTGGGTCAGTCACAAGTTTCACGGCAAGTTCCACTGAAGTCCGGAGCTCCTGGTAATGTTTACTGTTTATCAGTGACTCCAAGTTGTTCAGGGCTTTTACAGCTTCCGTGGTTGGATAAGGCTGACTTATTCCATCGGGGGAACTACCCCTAGCCACATAAAAACAGGTAGTTAGTAGTGAGCACTGCAAGTTACAGAAGAATGTATCTTACTTAATTGAGAAGTGACATAAAGTTATTCAAGAATGTATCTTCATGTACTTCAGAGCTAACATGTAAAATTGGAGACATTATGATTCTTATATAACCAAATGCTCTAATTATACCAAACTGGTGCTTGTTATACAAGGTTTGAAGCTTTCACAGCATGCAGATGCAACAGGCTTCTCATGCAGTGAGCTTCAGCATCTTAGAAACTGTTAGTCTCCATCATCAGTGATCGCTGAGTGGTGCTGCACACTGCATTTTTAAAACATTTGGATCCATAAGAAGAAAAGTGATAGGATGGGAGAAGGAAAACTGCATAATCAAGAGATTCATAATTTATACTGTTCAACAAACATTATTAGGATGATCAAATCAAGGAAGGTGAGACAGGCAGGCCATGTAGCATGCACAGAAGAATCAGAAATAGATACAGAACTCTGGTCAGACAACCTGAAGGCACAGATGGAGAATAATATTGAAATTTAAGAAGTAGTATGGGAGGTTGTAGTCTGGATACAAATGTCTCAGGATGGGAACCAGTGGCAGGTTCTTTGAACATGGTAATTAATTTTCTGGTTCCATAAAGGGTGCAGAATTTGAGGAGCTGGGTGACTTCTAGCTTTCACTGAACAATTTTGTTCCATGGAGATACACAGAGAAGAACAGAGAGCTGTCTGTTACAAGATGACCTACCCCTGTAGAAATATTAATAGATGATAATGACCATTATTGTTGTACCAGAAAACCTGTTGGAAATACAAAAATTACTGATTTGATGCCATGTAAACTTGTAGATCATTTCTGATATTTTAGAGGAATGTGCTACTCTGTCAATCCTCTGGTGATAATCTAAAGACTGAGTTAAGTAAATCTGCTGTATTCTGCACAGGGAAAGTTGGACCTTGAGGACCAAGATGCAGGAGGCACAGGGAAGTGCAGGAACCTACTGCAAACAGGGAGGGGCGTAGCCACATCTGTCAGGGTCAATCTGCTTCTAGTCCCTAAACCAGAAACATCATTTACATGTATTATACGCACAACCCAGTTCCATAGGAGCCGGGATAGCATAGTCGGTATAGTGACTGGCTACGAGCTGGACAACTGAGGGGTTGGAGTTCAAGTTCCAGTAGGGTCAAGAATTTTCTCTTCTCCAAATTGTTCAGACCAGCGGGTCCACCCAACCTCCTATCCAATGGGTACTGGGGGCTCTTTCCCTGGGGATAAAGCGGCAGAGGCATGAAGCTGACCACTCACCTCCAGCTAGTGCTAAGGTCACACTCCCCCATTCACCTTCATGGCATAGTGCTTAATTTGGTGAGCACAGGGACAACTTTATCTTTTTACCCAGTTCCTCTGGAGTTGACAATTGTGCACTGCAGGCAGAATGGTAATAGCAGCACTGCCACAGTATCATGGTGAATTGAAATGGACTTTTCAGGCATATCAATGTCTATGTAATACTGACAGCACCATGGCTGAGAATAGACTGACTATATAGCAAATATGCTGCTACAAAAGTGGGAGAGGTGGAGTTCTGGATCCTCTTCAGTTTTCACATTCTGCATCATGGAAGACTGGTCAGGTGCAAGTTCTACGACACTACACAGGATCACATCCCTGAACACAATAACCTTCTGCCTCCATCATCAGAAACTCAAATTGCACATGGTGGACATGTAAATGTCTGTCAAAGCAGGAATTTTGTGTTCGGATAGCTTGGTCAGTACAACAACAGACAGCCCAGGCTCGATTCCCAGCAGTGCAAGATTTCTGTCTTTTCCACAGTGTCCTGACTGACTCTGGGGCCCATCCAGCCTCCTATACAATGGATGCCGGGTGCTTCCTCCTGGGGTAAAGTGGCAGGGGCATGAAGCTGACCACTCACCATCTAGTGCCAAGGTTAAGAAAGGTAGAGCTATACCTACACTCTCCCATATGTCTTCATGGCATAGTACTTAACTAATTAAGCGCAAGGACAAAGTAGGAATTTAGCATGTAGAACGTAATTAAACAATAATCTACAAAGAGTTGAAAATATGAGACAGGCATATTTTACTAGCACAAAGAGTTTCTCATACCCGCCTCTTGTAATGTCACAATGTTATACTCACCTACTGGATGAGACTGGAGTTGAGAGTAACTGCCCAGGAGCATTTGGCGTTCTTCTGACTCTTGGCGGGTCCCCTTCTGGTAACTGTGCCAATATAAATACAGCCAGGGCACGACTCAATAATCGACACCTGTATCAACATGGAAAATTTGAACAGGCAGTAACCAGTAAAATAACATGCATTTCCATGTCAGAGCGAACCTTCCTTTCTTACGGCTTTCATATCTGCTGTTGGCAGTATGTGAATGAAAAATTTTGATATAAAAAGAACTGAAGTTTCAGTGACCTCTATCTACTTACCAATGTGTATCGCATCATTTATTAAAAATGGCTTCCTTCTTCATATGTGAATATGTCAAATGAAAAGTGGAGAAAACAGGTTTGTGCAGCTGTGAAATGCTTCTATTTAAACATAGTGACCCGAACATAAATTCTTATACAGGGCCATTGAAAAAGAATGCCGGGATTATAAAAACCTAACATTCATAAAATGTTAAGCATATCAAAATGACTGAGGTTTTAAAATGTGGTGAAAGAATGTAAATTTTGGATATGCTCAGTTGTTGATGGGTAGCGAGCAATGTTGAGATGCTTTTGTAGGTTGACCAATCGATACAACTTGTGTGCTATGCCAGCCGTCAAGACTTCCCAGACCAATTTTCTGGCCTCCCAGAAGCCCAGATCTTACCCCAATGGACTTTTTTTTTGTGGGGATATGCCAAGAACATTGGTATGGTGAAAAGATTCAGGATCTCTGGCACCTATGGGACAGGATCACAGAAGCCATCACAACGATAACTCCAAATATTATTCAGCAGCACGAGATTGAATACTGTCTTGATATCTGCTGAGCGACAAATGGAGTATGTATTGAAACATACCAAGGTAATATAGCAATTTAACACTTGAATCATGTTGATATGTTTAACACCTTTTATATTTGAGCAATAGTTTTTTTATAATCCTGGCATTCTTTTTCAATGACTCTGTATAAATATACACCTTTGCTCTAACTTGCAGGATTGCTGTCAAGTGGCATTCAGAACTTAAATGTTGTACAGCTTCATGTGAAAATTCTGTCCTGTCATCAGTGAACAAGTTAAAAATGTAGCATTTGAAGTTCTCACAGTGGTGGTTATGAAGAGTTATATCTTCCAGGATATAAAGCTGTGTAGTCCATTTGAAGTCAAGTGACGTTTCGGAGGAACACATTGCCTCCATTTTCATGATCGAAGAATAAGCCATCTGCTTTCATTCTGGTTTCTTGCTGGGCTTATCCTTCAATCCTAAAGATGAAGGCAACATGTTCCTCCAAACAGTCAGTTCACTATTTGGACTACATGGTACTATATCCCAGAAGACAATTCAAATCAGAAAATGCACACCCAGTATAACAATTCTGGTATGATTGCTGCCTTATCTTTGATTATTTTGAAAACCACAAAACTTACAAAGAATGTACTGGACTTAAAATCTTTGTCTCCTTTTCATAATTTTTCTACACATTTTCTTCTCCCGCAAACATTTAGTGAATTACGCTCGAGATGTTTGCAGAAAGACATGTAATGTCTGATTTTAACTGAAATTAGAATCTGTCGACACATATTAATACAATTCCCCAATATCAAATTTAATGAAAATCTGTTCAGTTACATTATTACATACTGCCAGACACAGATACTCTAAAGCCACTGAGACAAATTTTTGCTACTGTTCATTACAGATGTGCCAAAATGTGAAGTCTCATCAGACTAATCAGGAATGCATTTCTGAAACTGTCAGCAGTTTCACATGCAAAACTGATGGTTTGAAAGTGAGGTGCCACAGCTGCTGAACACGTGTCAAGATTGATTAAACATAAACTGGCAAATTACATCCAGCATCAATTGTACTTCTTAAACTGTTGTCTAGCTCTAGGAGATTCTTCATTCCAGTCTCTCACAGTGGATGGAACACTGCTTCACTACTTAATCCAGAGACAATACAAAACACTTGTTGCAAACACTCATCACAGGCAATATTTCAGTGTAACACAAATTCCCTGCTGTTCAAAATATGCATACAAACTTTCCAATACTGTATTTATCAATGTGTAACCCATGTTTTTCCCCAAAAATGGTCCTAAAATTGCAGTGTGTCCTATATATCATCAAGTAACAATGAAAATGAGGTGAATGTTAGAAACATGGCTAACAAGTCACTCATCTTTTGCGACTCATAAATTAAAATTTGTTTCTGCCATTTTGTATCGGCCTCTGAAGGTGCAATTCTCCTTTCATTGTCCAAATTTCTCACAATCTCGGATGTATACCCCTCAATTTTACTTTATACAGCAGAACCAACATTTAATAACCTTCAATTTTGGGCTTTTTGTTCATTTAGTATTCAATCTCAATGATATGGTCAATATCTCAGCATTAAATACCTCCATTTAAGATTTTTCTTGGTTTAGTCTTCAAATCCACTGATCCCCAATGAAACCTTAAATGCATGTCTGTCTTTAGTGTTAGCAATTTTCTCCCCACCTCCACCAATTTAATTTCTCCTTCCTAAACTGTTATGCAACATATACACAGGGAAATACAGTATTTTGTTAAGGATTAAATATTTAAAACCTTTTACTTCAAATATAATAACCTTTATTTGATAATGACTAAATCTTGATTACCATCCTCCATACATATTTAAATAAATTTATACAAACAGGAGCAGGTTTTCTCTGAGTACTTCGGTTTCCCCTGCCACTTCCATTCCATCAATTGCTCCACAATCACCATCATCTATCATCTGGGGCTGGTACAATAAAGCAATAGTGGACACAGTACCAAGTGGACTCAGTCTCACCCCAACAACAACTCTTTTATTATTTATGTGCTGAATCAACAGCTACAAGGCCAATTACAGACACATAATAATAATAATAACAATTTACTGTTCTGACCTTACAGACACAGGAGAATTCTTGCGCAAACCAATGGCTCCAAGGATTCCCCATCCTCCTGTTTTGTCTTCTGCTAACAGCATCAGAGATTGGGTTAATTTTCGTAAACATCTTACTGCCATGTCACTGTCGCCAGAATATTCACACTGCCGCAGCGAAAGCTCAAGAACTTTGCCCCACAACAATGGTAGTTTGGATTCCACGTTCTCACTGCATTCCAGAATATAAATAAAACAAATGATCATTTTAACATTCCTGAGACACAGCAGTTACATTTTATATGTGTCACTTGTCTATACAAAAGCTTTCAAACTTCAACTTCGACATTCTGCTTACCAAGTGTGGCCTGATATTAAATATAACAAACTAGCTACCTTCCTAACTACGAGCGTCATTTCATAAATAATGCACAGGTTGGCAACACCGCGGATCAGATGACGCAACAACAGTGAGCCTCATGTCAGTTACAGTTCAAGGCTTGAGAAAGAAGCGCGTTGTTTTGTTTCATCTATAATGTATGCTGTTCTTTAATAACGTGAGTTAGAAATGGAGCCTGCACGGTTCTTGGGTACTGTGACTGTTGAAGATCAAAGGTCGCACATTAAGATCGAAACTTTATGTGGAAAAAACCCGACAGAAATCCACAGCTGAAATCACAGTCCAATGAGTGGAGAGGGCCATCTTCCCCATGACCACAAAAATTCTGACGATCTCAATCAAAGGTCAAACAAATTATTATCTTGCTTATGATCACCAAGGAATCATCATGACAGAGTTCCGTGCGGGAAAAGTGTCACAGCAGTTTATTATCGTGACTTTGTGCAAAATCTGCACAGAAAAATGCACAAAAAACCGACCTCAGTTGCTCGAGGCTGGGAGGATCATTTTCCATGATAACGCTTGCCTGCACATCGGGAATGTCATAACAGAAAAGCTGTGCCAATACGATTGGGAGGTGTTGCCTCATGCTCCCTACAGCCCGGACATGAGTCCACCAGACTCTGACTTATTCCCAAAGTTAAAACAACCTATGCGAGGCTGTCGTTTTCCCTCTCTGGAAGAGCTTTCTGCTGCAGTACTCAAGCCTTTGACAAATAAACAAAGATGGTGTCCTGGATGGAATAGTAAAGCTTCCCATATGTTGGGACTCGGTCATTAAGAAGCAGGGGGACTATATTGAAGGGCTGTAAAGAGAAATTAAAAAAAAAAATAAAATAAACATGGACGTAAACAAAAACTTGTGTGCATTATTTCTGAAATGACCTATTATTATTATTATTATTGGAGGGGGTGGGTTTCCCCATGCACCGTGACCAGTTTGATCTATTGTTCGTCCCCCTATAATCTTCTACCAGCCTCTATACCCTACTGGTATTGGTGCTTACCATCAGTCCCTACTCAGCCAGCGAGGTCGGCCTCTACTGTTTCAGAGGTATCTCAATTCTTCCCCCATCTACCAGAGGCGTTAGAGACTACTGTTGGGCGGGAAATGTCCTTAATTTAGCTCAGTGGCCTCCTTTGGAGACAGGTTCTTTTATGTGCCGTAAAGCTACGACACGGGACCCACGGCTTAAAGTCCCTCCCGGAGGACTTGTTCCCTGAATTTTTCCACCCTTAAAAATTCCACGACCTCCGCCGGGTTTGAACCTGCACACCTTGAGTCATGAGGTGGGAACGTTACCGCTAGATTTTGGAGGCCACTTGAAATGACCTACGTACATTAGCTAATGAACTACATGAAGTTGATCACTTCTTGAAAAGCCACCAGTTGCTCAGTTACTCAAGAATATCGCAACATTGTATGGAACCTGAAAGTTCGTTACCATGTTCATAAGAGCCTTCAACGGGTCCCTGTCCTAATCCAGGTGAATCCTGTTCATACCACCCAACCCTATTTCTCTATGCTACATTTTAATATTATCCTCCCACCTGTGTCTAGGTCTTTCTAGTGGTCTCTTTCCTTCTGGCTTTCCCACCAAAACTCTACATGCATTCCTCTTTTCCCCCATCAGTACTACATGCCCTGTCCATTTCACTCTCCTTGACTTGATCATTCTAATTATACTAAGAGAAGAGTACAAGTAATGAAGCTCCTCATTATGCAGTTTTCTCCAACCTCATGTCAATTCATCCCTCTTCAGTCAAAATATTCCCTTCAGCCATGCTAGCTCATGACACCAAGTAGTCTGGAAGGTGGGTCCTAACATTTCAAAGGAACTCCATCTACCTTGAAAATGAAGGCACTATTTCCTGTGAAACATTGGTCACCATCTGCTAGTTTACATGACATCATAACTCAGGGGACCTCAAAATGAATATTTCAGCTTTATTGCTGTGCACTGTGTTCGTGTAATGGGCTCACATGTGCAGTCCAGCTGGGTAAACAGTGAACTTTCTGTATACTAATACCTTCATGAAGATGTAAAATATGGACCCCAGCATGCAGTACCAAAGCTAACAACCCAACAACCCCATAGTACCAGGTGATTCAAAATTCCCTATTCCCATAAGACACAACTATTATGTCAAAGTTAAAATCTAGGCACCAATCCCATACTGCTGGGAGATTCAAAATCCACTATTCCCAGACAATAAAGACACAACACAATCAAAATGTGAAAATTACTTTGTGGGGATTTGTCATACATCTGCCCACATATTCTAACTGATTCATATACTGGACACTTATAACATTCAATTAATGTATTTCTAAAACTGGAGTTGCTACAAGAAGAAGAGCAAAATTAAATCAAAGATAAAAAGCTTATGAAGGGGTTACTGTGTTTTTGGACTTTGTCAGTTATCCAGTATTCATCCCAGCTGGGATGAAGTTAGGATTTTGGAAATCAGATGAAATGGCAGGTATAGGAAATACAAGGAATTGGCATCTATGGCATGTTTAACCAATCCGATCAGCCAACCAATTTTGGATATATCTCCCATATGGAACCCCTTATTGGTAATGAAGTCAGGAACACACATGGAAGGTCAGTATGATCTGACAGATTCTTCATGGGCTTATATATGATTTTGGCCCACAATTCAGTTTTATTTTTTCCATAGATGGCACTAGCTGTACCTAAAAATTGTTTCACAACATGAAAATTAATCCTAATTATTGGTTTCAATTGATTTGGTTTGATGCAAAACATTTTTCACTCGTTTTCTATATAAGTTTCAGGTCTGCATATGCTTTATTACCATTTTTATTGTACATTTTCCTGTTATCTCCCTTCAACAAACCGTGATCTCAGGTGTTTATATAGCTGTAGTTATACTGACATAGGTTGACCAGAGATTGAGGTTAGCTCTTTCTAAGAGACCCAAGAGAGTAGAGAGAAATAGATGCAGTTTCCTAAATATTGTGTTCTTTAGAATAACAGATGATGGATGGCCTGAAGTTCAAAAACCCAGTAATCCCGAGTGTTAAGCACCATTGTCAAAATCACTGAACTAGCTTATGAAGGTCTTTTTCTTCAACAGCATAATTCCTGTGTCAGCTTTCCTACTAAAGGTAAAGTTGTACCTGTGCTTAACTAATTAAGCACCATGCCATGAAGGCACATGGTGGAGTGGATGTATGGATCCAGCTTTTCTTGACCTCAGCACTAGTTGGAGGTGAGTGGTTAGCTTCACACCGCAGGGAAAGAGACTCTGGTACCCACTGGACAGGAGGCTGGGTGAGGCCCAGAAACAGTCATTCACACCATCAGATAATGACATGATAGTTACATCTTTGTCAGAAAGTTACTAGGCTCCATTTTTCAACATAAGACAGGAACCAAAATTGCCACACTGGTGATCTCACTGGACCTACAGGACTTTCTTCCATAAGGCTGCTGGCTCAAGGTATGACGTATACACAGAGTTGTTTTAGACTGACAGCAGTCAACCCTGCCATTTTACATACAACAGAACTCCATTTAATAAAATTTGGAGGAGGCAAATATTTTGGTCTTAAATTTATAGCACAATGGCCTCAATTTGTATTATACTTTCCAAGTTTCTATACTTTATTTGGTACTACTTGGGAATCAATTGCTTTTACTTACTGTACTCCAAGAGAAAAAAAAGAGTAGGAGCCTGGATGGCTCAGTTGGTATGTATGCCAGGCTGCAAGCTGGATGACCAGGAGTCAAACTATTGTCATATGACCTCTAAAGGCCAAAACAGTACAGCCTAAGATGTCCCCTGCTAGGCTATAGCTCAGTAAACATGTTCCCACAGCAATGAATATGCACACAATAAAGAGGAATTGTTGGAAGAGGTGTTTTCTATGTGGTTTGTGACAAGGCTCTACAACAAGGACCAATGGGACAAGTCAGTTGCGAGTCACTCGTAGTTGGTGGTTAGCTGTGAGCACGGAAGTAGATGAACCTACACTCACTATCTGGTAATGACTAATGAAGTCACTCTTGTCACAAGACTTCGTGTGTGCTGTAGTGATCTGCAGTGTGCGTAGATTAGTGACAGTGTTATAATTCTGTGTAGTTATGAACAGTGGGAATCCAGTAAATTCAGTAATTAATTCAAACTCTATGTATAGTCACTAATGTGAGAGACAACTGGTGTCAGAAGTGGGATCTGAACCCACACAGGGACAAGAGATTTTCCTTCTCCATAGCATCCAGACTGGCTCTTGAAGTCCATCCTGCCTTGAGTCTGTAAACTGGCCAGATCATAAAATGATAACTCATAGCTAACTAGTGCCAAGGTTAAGAATGCAGTTATAATGCCACTGAAACATACACGTATATCTTCAAGGCATAACTCTTGAGTAAACAGAGGGACAACTTTACCTTTACCCTCACCTTCAGAGTGTTCAGTTTTTTTAAAAACTACTGAAAAATATAACGGGTTAAATTCGTGCTACAAGTTACTTTCAAAGAATATTAAGGGTATTCTGAGACTGCACAAAACATATCTAAAATGTTATGGAACTGCCCTTACGTACGTTGGCTTTATGATCATAAGCCAGTCCACTAGGTTGCAGAGAACACTGCCCTCTTCACGTATATCCCTACATGTGGGCAGCCGTTTCAGCAGTAATGCATACAGACTCAGAAGGTGACCACTGCCCAAGAGACACTCTTCTAGTGGAGGCTGTCGTGGCACACATTGCTGTAGGACCACTACTGCCATTGCCCATTCAGGAGTTGGTCCTGATGAAACTATAAAGTGAGAACACAGGTTTCAGTAACAAAATAATAAGTTCTCTGAAGTATTTATAACAATTTTACTTTTTCAAGTGCGCTTTGAATAGAGATTCCTAATGAACTCTTAAATAGTTACACAACCTACAAAAGTATCAACTATCTTGGAACAAAGTTTCTCACAGCACAGTTCTCTGATACTGAACATCATCTTCACGGTTTGAAAATCATGTCAAGTCCTACTTAAGTAGTTCACAGAGCAGAGTCCTTGCTGAGAAGTTAAAATTCAATCAGTTTACTGATATATTCATTGCTTTTTATGGAAACAAACCGTTCATTACCAGGTTCTCAAGAATCTGCCAATGGTCTCTATCTTGAGTCAAATGAATCCGGTCAAAACTCTTAATACTTTATTTCTTTATGATTCATTATAATATTATACCCACCTATGTCTAGGTCTTTCATAGTATGCATCCTGTTTTGTGTCATTCAAGAAAAATATACGAGGGTAAGTCAATAAGTAAGTTACAAATGGATACAGAACTTAAACAAATATGAGTACTGGCTTGAAAAATGCTTTTATTTCTCAGCATAATCTCCCTGTACATTGAGGCACTTGTCCCATCATTTCACAAGCCCCTGAAAATGAGCACCATTAATTTTTTTGGGCTCCTGTTGGAACCAGGTGGTAACTTCCCTTTCTACAGCTTCTTTCTCGGGAAAATGTTCAGCCAAAAGATGATGTTTAAGAGGGCCGACTCCTACTGTAACATCCTCAGGAAACTTTGTAAGGCCATTCAATGGAAGTGACCAGGACTCCTCACCAAAGGCGTGTTGCTCTTGCATGACAATGTGCATCCCCATACTGCCAACAAGATAAATGAGACGCTGCGAAATTTCAAGTGGGAAGTCCTTGAGCATCCTCTGTACAGCCCCGACCTTACTCTAAGCAACTTCCATTTGTTCGGCCCTCTTAAATATCATCTTTCAGCTGAACATTTTCCTGATGATGAAGCTGTAGAAAGCGAAGTCACCGCCTGGTTCTGACAGCAGCCTAAAGAATTTTATGCTGCTGGTTTTGAGGAGCTTGTGAAATGATGGGCCAAGTGCATCAATGTACAGGGAGATTATGCTGAGAAATAAAAGCATTTCTCAAATCAGTACTCTTATATGTTTAAGTTCTATATCCATCTGTAACTTACTTATTGCCTTACCTACGTACCGGGGATGGACAAAAATATGGAAACACCCAACAAAAACCACATTACCGTGACTAATATGGAGTAGGACAACCTCTGGCTTGCAGAACTGCTTGCAGTCTCCTTGGAATGGATAAATAGAGGTCCTGTATGATTTGCAAGGGAGTCTTGTACCATTCTTCCGGCAAAACATTGGCAAGTTCTGTTAACGATGCTGGAGGTGGATAGTACGCACGCAGATTGCTCTCCAAAAGACCATAAAGGCTCAATAATATTGATATCTGGCGATTGTGGGGGCCACGGCAGATGTGACACTTCACCTTAGTGCTCAGAAAACCAGTCTTGGACGATGTGAGCTGTGCGAACACAGGCATTGTCGTCTTGGTAAATGGCATCCCAAAGTTTGCACCATGGGATGGACCTGGTCACCCAAAGTGGTCACACAGTCGTTGGCAGTGACGTGACCTTGCAGGTTAATGATGGGTCCAACAGAATACCACGATATGGCTGCTCATACCACGACTGAACTCCTGCCATGTTTCACTTTTGGCAGCAAACAATCTGGATTGTAAGCTTGGGATGGCATTCTCCAGACGTAAACTCGGCCAGAAGTCAGAAACAGTGTGATGGTGGACTCATCCAACCAACTTACCCTCTTCCATTGCTCCATAGTCCAGGTTTTATGACTTCAGCACCACACTCTCCTCTTAATGGCATTTTGATCATGGATGAGTGGCTTTGGAATTGCAGGTCATCCAGAAATACCTTGCTTGTGGAGTTCCCTTCGTACTGTTTTGGTGCTGACAGGGTTTGTGAGCATGACATTCAGTTCAGCAGTCACTTTTGCAGCTGTAGTCTTCTTACTTTTCGTCACAATCCTACGCAATGTTCGTCTTTCTCGATCACACAACACACATTTCTGTCCACGCTGGTATTTATCGGATGCGGTTTTTCCAGTCCTCCTGTGTGTAGTTATAATCTTGGATATTGTGCCTCGTGAAACACCAAAAACCTCGGCTACCTTGGTTACGGAAGAATCCACCATACAGGCCCCAACAATTTGCATGTGTTCGAATTCTGTTAGCTCTGACACGATGCAACTGCACAGAACACAGTCTCGACAACAAATGAAGCTTGCAACGTATTGTGGAGGTTGTACAGGTAGTGCTACTGGGCAGATACGACATCGTCACCTACAAACGTCGCTAAAATAAACACTTCAATTCAGGCATACATTTCACGAGGTGTTTCCATATTTTTGTCCATCCCCTGTACAAATGGGTCAACACAATAAATTACTGAAACCCAAAGGAATGAGATATTACAGGATCAACATTTGTTGATTTGCTCAGATGTTAATGCTACATATTTTGACCATTCTTTAGGTCATCTTTTAGCATACATGAAACAAGAGTGATAAGTTTTTGAGTATGTTAACACATTAATATGGATTTTATATTTTACATTAATATGTTTTATAACATTACAATCTTTTATTCAAATTTTGATCAAATAAATATATACACCTATGTTATTGATATTTATATTATTATCTATTTTAAATTGAATAGTTAAAATAATAAATAATTAAAACTAAATACTTTGAATGTATTGCTGTGGTCTGTCACTAGTGTACAGATTTGGAAGTCTAACTATATCTTTATTAGTATGTTATTATTAACTGACATATGATGTCTGCTGAGGCAGATTGCTTACTGATTAAAACTGAATAAAACTGTTCTTCTTGTTTTCCATATGAAAGCTTCAATCATATAAGTAAAGAAACCTACTTGTATTCTTGAAGAATGCTTGTAAAGCTGCCTCAAGAATAGCTCCAAGGGCTTCAGATGATGTGACAGTAGGACCAAGTACCCGAAGAAATGCCTGCAGCACAACACTCGAACAGTCTCTTGCTGTGAGCCACTGGGTACAGCAGTCCACAGCAAGCCGAGACATCTGGCTGCCAGCGGGCTGGTTCACAGCTACCAGGAGTTCAGTAAGTAGCAGACCTGCCTCTCCCACATGCTGAGCTGGTGGAACAGCTGAACACACACACACCAAATGCACAAGTACAGTGATTCTGAAAATCCACGATCCAGAAGAACTACAAAAATTTATGAAACGAGAAGTCAGGTAATTTATTTAACATTAAAAAAAAAATCCTGTAGTTTTGGGTTTGAGGTTCTCACAGTGATAACTATGAATAGTTTTCTGGGATGTGAAGCTGTGCAGTCTGGTAGAGGGTCACTAAAATTTCGCAGGACCACATCACCATCTTCAGTGACAAAGAGTATGCTATGCAAGTAACCAACATGAAGCAGGCAGCAAGCAAAGCAAATCGTATTGTCATGTATAATGGGTTGCATGACTAATAATAATTAGTTCTGGATTTGATGATTGGGTTTACTGTCACTTGTTTACAATTACAGTTGATAATAACAGCTCACACATACATGGAACTCCTTCTGAATGACGTCTGTGTTTTCGAATCTCTATGAAGAATCTCTCACCGATCTCGGGCAGATCTCTACTACTCAAATTCACAAATGCGCTGCCTTTTATAACTGTCATGTGGCTGGGAAAGAACTCATCATGTCAAACAGTTCCTCTGTTGTTACGGGAATGACTTTGTTTCATGACTTGCTACCTGGCAACAACTCATTCGCTGCTATTCATTGTAATTGACTCTAGTCTTTGTTAATATTCATTCCCACAGAAACATGATTACTGAGCCGTTGTCTAGCAGCAGACGTCTGGTCCAGCTCCACCATCTTGGCTTTCAGCCATCATGTCACAATATGTTAAAGTCTGCATTCAGAAACAGGCAAACCAATATTTTCTCTGCCATATTCTCTAGGCTGCTCGTTTGCTTGGCTTACTTTTCAGTGTTCAAAATGGAGTCAGTACATTCCTCTGAAGCAGTCTATCCAGGCAAAAGCTAGGACAGTACCATAAAACAGACCATGACCACTTCCTTCATTATTCCTTCTATTTATCAATTAAAATGATCATTACATCTCACTGAAACTAGGCTCTGCCATAGCTCAAGCGGTTAGTCGCTGGCTTCCCATCGTGGTGGCCCAGGTTCGATCCCCGGTCTGGTCAAGTGGGATTTGTGGTGGACAAAGTGGCGCTGGGGCTGGTTTTCTCTGAGTACTTCGGTTTCCCCTGCCAACCTTCATTCCACCAACTGCTCCACAATCACTTGCACCTATCATCTGGGGCTGGTACAATAGGCCAGAAGTGGCCACAATACAAGGGACTTAGTCCCACCCCACTAGCAATAAAAAAAAATACTGAAACTACATAACAGCAGCAGTTGATAAAGCATTATAAAATACACCAAGAACCATATTTCCATCTACATTTGCATTGTTCAGTGTACAAACATATATTTCTTAAATGACCTTCCAAAGTTATGGTATCAAGAAAAACAAATTCATTCTCATTACCCCGATTTTACACTTATTTTAGGAAGACACTCAGAAAGTGTAAAATCAAGGTTTCACTGTATTTCCTTCCTTCCATTCTTCTGTGCTGCTTTCATGTCCCTTTTATTTGTTCATCCTATTGGCATTTCTTTCTATCTCCTCTTCCTTTACAGTCAACAGTTACCTCACCCTTCTTTTTCCACTCTTCTATATTTTGTATCCTTATTTCCTTCCCCCCTTTCTCACAGATTCATTTTCCAGGCTTTTTGTTTACCCCTCCTACCAGCATTCCTCTTCCAATATCCTAGCAATGACACACTGGATTTTCTCCAGGTATGACACAGTGACAGAAATTTCCTGCAAATTTCTCCCCTATTCTATACATAGCAATGACATGATGGTTTTTCCCAAGCATGAAAGAGTAACAGGAACTGGTTATTAATATGCAGACATATGTTTCAAATGGAAATAATGTATGTAGGAAGGGCATTATCTTGAGAAGTTTCAAAGCCAGTAATTTGTTAAGGAAACTGGAGAATGTTATCAGTAAGCAAGAGAGCACACACACACATACTTGCGAGCACAACAGCCTCAGTATCATTCAGCAACTTGTTAACTGCAGCTCTGAATGCAAGTTCTCGTCTGCTGAGCAGAACTTTGTAGCGACTAGCACATGACATCAGTAACTTGACACATGCACGTACAAATATTTGCCTCTTGCGCGGTGTTGATGGATGGAAATGTGTCGACTGAGGTCCATGTGCAGCTGCCACCTGCAAGAGCCTGCAAACAGCACTAACTGTCACATACAGACCTTTAAAAATTACAATGCACCACAATTCTTACTTTTCTCCCAAAAGAAGCTTGTACAGAACAAGCTTTTCTTGACTAAATCAGGTACAGTGATCATAAGAAACAATCAAAATGTTTTTAATACCCACAGTTCTTTGCTACCATAAATTTTTCTTTGTATATGAGATACGTATTGAGCCAGGATAGTTCAGTTGGTATAGCGATGCACTAAAGGCTGGTCACCTGGGGTCTGATCCCCACCCAGCCTCCTATACTATGGATACTCAGAGGTGCTGTGGCTGGGGAGTGAAGCTGACCATTCATTTCTAACTAGTGCTGATGCCAAGAATAGTGGCACTATACCTCCACTCCACCATCCAGCTTCTTGGTGTGCAGCTTTATTATGGATGCACAGGAAAAACTTAAATTTTTTTTTTTTACTTTTATGTAAGACATATGAACATACATACCATTATAAAAAGATGAAACAGTTCCATCCAGTGTGACTGGTGAAGATTTTTCTTATTTAAACTCTTCATGCCCTTACATGTATTGTCAGCATTGTATGTATATATATTTTAACACTCAGAATACCTACTGTAATAGTGGTTTCCAAACTGTATCAATGTCCCTCTGATGATGGTCTCTAAGGACTGAAACATGTAAGGGCATGAAGAACTGAAATGAGAAAAATCTTCACCAGTCACACTGGACAAAACTCTTTTTATCTTTTCATAATATTGTTAGTGTGACGGACCAGAAAGAAACTAATCAAATACATACCATTCATTATACAATTTTAAATAAAACATTACTTAGACTGTAAGGTGTAGATTAAAGGAGTGGTTTATATCAGCTCTGATCACATCCATCTTGGATCTACTGTGTGTCCCATTTCAGAGTTCGTCTTCTAGCAGCACCATGCTAATTAAGTTTAGCATTTTGCTTACAGAGACATTTACATAGTCACTTGGCTTCACGCATGGGCACCAAGTGAAAAACACCAGCAGAAACAGCATCCTATCAGTAAGTCCCATCAAACACTTTGGCCAGTATATATTTCAGTCTTGACAGTCACAAATGTCATTATTTAAACAAGAATAAATTCTGTTCACTATCAAAGCATAATGTTCTCACATTATGGTTGATAAAAATTATAAAAACACTCTCCAACTATCGAACTCCATGGGGCTGAGGTCTTCTTGATAAGCCAGCAGTTGCTCAGCCATTCCAAAAAATTCCCAGAATTTTATGGAACCCATAAGTTCATTAACACATGTTCACATGTGTGTCAGCAGACTCCATGTTCAGCCAGAAGAATACAGTTCACATCCTCAGACCATATACCTTTAATATTATTGTCCCATCTCTCACAAGCAATCTCCTCCCTTCAAGTTTCCTGACTAAAATTTATTATATACCTCTCATTTCTGCCATATGTGCTACATGTCCCACCCATATGAACCTCCTTTATTTCAACACCATAATAACATCTGGTGAAAAGTAGAAATTTTATGAAGCTCCTCATTATAAAATTTTCTCCAGCCTCCCATTACTGCCTCTCTCATGGGCCTTTAGACCATCTTTAGCATCCTGTTGATGATGTTATTATTCTTATCATCATCCTCATCATTGCTGTCTTCATCAACACTGTCACCACCATCATCATCATCCTTCTAATAATCAACACCACCACCACTTATCAACTTCTCTACAGTTAGAAACATAAAAATATTTTTATGTATTGTCATTGGGACATTTGTAATATTAACTCTCTGCATAAAAACAAATTTAATATGTCCATTTTGTTTAAAGCACCACAAACTGCTCATTTATCTATACACTTGAAGTCCATGTGCAGTAAATGTACCAAGATGAAAAATCACTAGGTGTACATTTTACCAGAATAGCTCTTTGTAAACATGGACTGGGTAAAAGATTTGCATGTACAGCAGAAAAATTTATTTAGGATTTTTATCTACATAAATAACGACATTAGTTTTGCTTAACACTTTCAATCAAGCCAGGATAGTTCAGTTGGTATAGTGACCGGCTACAGGCTGGATGGCCAGGGTTCGGTTCCTGGCACAGGCAAGAGAAGTTTCTCTTCTCCTGTGTTGAAATCAGCTCTGGAGCCCACCTAGCCTCCTATGCACATCTATAGAGTGCCGAGGTCAAGAATGGTGGAGCTATACCTCCACTCCCCCTGTGTATTCATGGTGTAGTGCTTAATTAAGAACAGCAACAACTTTACATATTCACCTTTAAAACTTCCAACTACAATGGTAGTCAAGCTTACACTTGAGACTGTCCCGCAGTCATGTAAATATAGATGTCTTAAAATTTACAATAAAATTAACATAGCTTACTCTAGAACAGTGCAGTCAATAGGGCTTATTCCATCTGTTTTCTCTGAATTATCTGCTCCAGTTGTACTATCGGGCCCCAGGATGACCCTGGGATCAGAGCTCATGACAAACCAATTGACCACCTGCTCGTATGCTGTTGCATCTACATGATGCCAAGCAAACAGACGTGATTCTTGGAGAAGTGGAAGAACTTTGGGCGACTGAAATGAATATTACAACAGTTGTAAGTTATTCAGAACAAGAACCTGTAAAAGCATTACTTATAACAGGCAGAAATGAATTCTTCTTAAGTTTTGTAACACTGTATCCTGTTTGTCATGCTTAACCGTTCAGCATGGTTTGACGTGTATGTTTCGTCAAAGTATTTAAATCGTCTGCGGGGGTTCGACGTCTATGTTTCGTCCAGCTGCACACCTATGTTATAACGCCCATAATAATTGATGGTTTTGCTGTAGATTGTTAGATTTTTCGCTGGCCTGTTGTCAGAAGTTCTATATATAATGGGACACGAGTTTAACTGCGTTAAGTCATCGTTATATATGCCTGTCTTGCAGCAAAATCGTGTTGCACTTGGAAGACATTTCCTCATTCAAACTGTTATGGATGGCGTGTTTTCTTTCCTATGAAGTTATAAACAGCAGAGACGTGATATGTGCTGTGTTTATAATATCATATTGCCCTGAGCTGGCCACACTAACACACTCAATTGGAATTCTTAGAAGAGGGATGTTCAAAAATTTATTCTTGCAAGATCGATTGATTTTGCACAGTACATAGCAGCCAATTCTTAGAATAACGTCACGAATTAAGGCAGAACACTGTGGTCACCCCCTGTGACGATACGGGAGTGTGTGGGGGGGAAAAGAACTCATTCCTTCATGTATTATCGCTCCAGTTGACTCCATTTTATCGTACTGACCTTGGTGGTCGTTTCGAGGGATGACCATAAATATTTTTTTTGAGCCAGCTAAGCTCTGCTTTCGTGCACTACATACCAGCCAGTTCTTAGAATAACTTCATGAATTCTGTGGTCACCCCTACGACATCTTAGAATATGAAACGCAGAAGCACCAACCCCTTGTTATGATAACATAAAGGTTGAATTTACTGCAGCTAATCTGGCAAGCAGTACGACTCACGGAGAGACATTTCCTCTTGTATTCCCCCCACGGGGAAGAAGGCAAGGCCGCACAGAAGATGTGTGGTTAAAAAAAAAGGGCCAAAGAAAAGATAGACAATATTGGTGTGGTGAATGCTTCAAGGCGTCACCTGCTTCCATTGCCGAGATACCGGGCGCTCATATTATAAGGCAAGGTTATAAAACCATCTTTTAAGATCATTTTAGTGAAAGTTTCATGTTCCAAGGCCTACCCTACACTGCTCAAATTCTAAACCAACTGCTTCCATTGCCGAGATACCGGGTGCTCATATTATAAGGTAAGGTTATAAAACCACCTTTTAAGATAATTTTAGTGAAAGTTTCATGTTTCTATCTCATATAATTTAAGAACAATGATGAATAAATCATTTTCGAGCAAAATTTAAATGGACGGCTGAATATATTACCGCTGGAGAGACACGGCATCGGAATTTAAATGACCGCGCGAAAGGGTTAAACTGAAATAGGGGTGTTGCTGTCACACAAACAAATGGTTTCTACTGTTCACTTCACAACATGTTTTGGCTCATATAGGCCATCACCAAATCCCTAACAACAGCAAACCATTAGAGTGAACATCAGAACTAAAAACCCCCTCATAAAAAACAAACATAAAGATCTAGCAACAAAAAATAACTGAAGAGTTGAAAACCATGACACACACTCCTAAGCATATTGGAAAATTTTCAAACGGATTTACTCCTGCAGTGCTTTGGTTTAATTTTTTATTTTTAATATTGTTAAAATTGTAATACAAATGATTAATTTTAAGTTGAAGTTTAATGTATGTATAGAATTAAATCAGATCTGACACACACAAGGTTATCCAATAAACTGTGCTAGCATTGTAGTTTATGTAAGCCAGCAATAATTGGGTGATCCTTGGGATCAACTGATGATGGCCTATACAGATCAAAACATGTTGTGGATTCAACAATAAAAATCATTTGTTTGTCTGACATCTTTATTTCTTCTTAAGTTCATTATTTAATGACACATATGATGATAGGATTACTAGTTAGTGGAATAAGATCTGTTCACCACAAATCCAACATGACATGACCTGAGACCAATCCTAAGCTGCCACACTGGGAAGCCAGTAATTAGCAGTCTCAGCTTGTGGCATGGTTGGCAGAAATTAATAAATACCTGGGTACATGTTATGGTTTGCATCAGCACAGCTAGACTGAATGAACTGGAGAAAATACATAAATTCACTCTGTTCTTTTCTGTGTAAATTTTTTGTTTTGGTGACAGTTTGCATCTGAACTTTGCTGGAGTAGAAAATGAAACGATCTACCTTTCTAACTTTTTGATGCATTTTATATCCCAGCTACCATTCTGGAATTCCAATATTCCCTTTCAAAAACTGTTTAAATGTCTAAATATTAATTTAATCCTGTATGATTTGAGATCCTCATAATGGTGCTTATGAAGAGTTTTATATTATGGGATATAATGCTGTGTAGTCAGCTGAAATTCAACCGTTACAGAAGAACATGTCGCCTCCATCTTCAGGGTCGAAGAATCTGAGCAAGAAAAAGCATGCAAGCAGTTGGAAAGCACAGTAATGGACTACATGGCATTATATCTCAGAAGATAAAACTCTTCAATTTAATCATCTTTCTTCATAAAAATGTACACATGTATAATAATTTACATAGCTTGTTAGGGGCTGTTTTCATTTCTTTATGAAATAACTGATGAAATTCTCACATTGGTATAGTAAGCCATGCAATTTGGTAGACCTGTTGCCTTCATCTTCTTCTACTCTGAAGACAGAGGCAGCAAGTTCCTCTGAAACACAAGTATCAATCTCCTGAACTATGCAGTGTCACATCCCAGAAAGGAGTGACTGAGTGAGAGCCAGTAGAGATGGAGTAATCTGCAGTAGCAAGACCCCTCATCTCACTGAAGAGGAGACCCCATTTCAAAACATGTAAAGTCTGGAAAGAAGAAAAATATGAAGAAAGCCATCCTCTGGGAAGTGGTGCCACGTGGATCTTGTGTAAACGTACATTTAGGAGGAAAGTATCGCCTCCATCTTCAAGGTAGAAAATCCACAAGCGAAGGAACCAGATGGAGCAGGTGGCTGCAGACTGAGTGACCAGTCGAAAAACACCCAGCTATATAAGAACAAGGAGGGAGGGAGAGTGGGCTACATGGGAAATTAATAGGGAGGAGAGGGGAAGGGTCTGTGGACATGGGCCAGCAGGTAGTAGGCAAGAGCCAAATTAGGATTGTGTCGGGGGAAAGAGGCCTGGATCCTAACACGGCCTGAAAAGCACAACTGTACTGACGAGGACCAGCAGCAATTCACTGCATTGGACTGGATTGTCATATTCAAGAAGGCCATAACCTTAAAAACAAACACTATTCACCATTTGATTCTGAACTACTTACTCAGTCTGCTCTTGCAGTAATTGGCTTGCACACTAAAACATACACCATTACATAGATTATTTATATTTACCTGTCTTACATTTGGCTCATTTGCAAGTTTGACTAGAAGATGCAGGAGGCAGACATGTGTCCGTGAAGCTACTTGAGACGGGTATGATGTGAGGACATGCCTCACCCAGGGGTGCCAATTCACTTCAATGAATATACCACCCAAAAACACATGACAATCTGGAAGATACTGGTCCACAACCTGCATCATATTACATAACATTCTAATAGTAAAACAACAGTTATGATGATGATGATGATGATTGTGGTGATGGTGGCACTGGTGATTGCAACTGAAGGGTCCTCATCACTACAGGAAACCAAAATAGGGGACCAGTTACATAATTTCTTCAGTGTCACATGAGAATAAATCCCAGTTACAAAGGTCTAGGGGAACCATGATAGCTCAGTCAGTGTAGTGACTAGGTTACTGACTGGACAACCATGGAATGTGGTTCAGATCCTGCAAGGGGCAAGAGACTTTTTTATCTTCTCTAGTGTCCACACTGACTCTGGGACCCATCTATTCCAATTGGTACCAGAGGCTCTTTCCATAGGGGAAAAGCATACAGGATATTAAGCTGACCATTCACCTCAATCTAGTACTATGGTGAAGAATGAATGGAGCTATGCCTGCACTCCTCCATACATCACTAGGATAGCTTGGTGAGTACAGGATTTGATCAACTGAAAAATCCAATCACCTCAATGGGAATCAAACCCAGAACCTTCTGGCTTGTAGCATAGTGTTTCAAGCAACTATGCTACCGAATTCCCCAGACTGTAAGATACAAGGTCGTTCAAATATGACCAGGACTGATTTGTATGTAAACAAGCTGCACTGCGCAGCAGCTGTGCGACCTTGAGAGAGTGAAGCCACAACCTCCACCCTCCCTCCTGTTTGGGTTAGAACCTGTTCAGTCCTGTCCGGGAGTTGCTAGAGTGATGAGCGAACAGAAGATACCACAGAGCATGGAACAACGCGTTGTGATCAAATTCCTCGTTGGAGAAAAGTCCCGTCTGGTGAAATTCACCATAGACACCAACAATAGTATGGGGAAGAGTGTCTCTCACGGACTCATGTGTTTCAGTGGTGTAAGTGCCTCAGAGAGGGCAGAGAGCGTGTGGAGAATGAACATGATCATCGGCTGCAAACATCCATCACCGAGCCAAACAGTGATCGTGCAGACGCGCTTATTCGTGAGAATAGGTGCATTGCTATCAAGGAACTTGGAGCAATGCTGTCCATCAGTGTTGGTAGTGTAGAAGACATCGTGAAATACCACCTGCACTATCTCAAGGTGAATGCATGGTGGGTACCACGCACTTTGACGGATGTGAACAAAATGGTGCGCATGCAAGCTGCCAGTCGTCTCCTACAGCAGCTTGAAGACGAAGGTGATGCATATTTGAAGTCTGTAGTGACCACTGATGAAACGTGGGTGCACTACTTCATTCCCGAGTCCCAGCAGTCATCACGCGAGTGGCGGCATACCAGTTCTACCAAACCCAAGAGAGCACAGAGGAGCTCTTCGGCAGGAAAAGTGATGGCAATGTTCTTCTGGGACTGGCAGGGGGTTATCCATGTAGACTTTCCGACAGATGCCAGAACAGTCAATGCAGCTTATTACTCAGACTTCCTGGCAATAGACATGAAGGAAAAGATCCGATCCAAGCGGAAGACAGGTGGAAAGCGGGTAGCCTTCCTTCAAGACAATGCATGCCCCCATACAGCCAAAACAACAATGGAAACCCTCCGGAAATTGAAATGGAACCTTCTGACACATCCACCGTACAGTCCCGATTTGGCCCCAAGTGATTTCTACCTGTTCAGAAGGCTCAAATCAGACTTGCAAGGCATGTGGTTTGTGGACAACGCCGCCGTCATGGAGACTGTTCGGGAGTGGATACGCTGCCAACAACAAGCCTCTTTGAAAAGGGCATCAGGATGCTTCCAGAACGTTGGAAAAAATGTGTTGACTCCGGAAGGGAGTACGTTGAAGACTGACATGTGCAAGTAAGTGTCTGGCAATTATGGTTAAAAAAAATCAGTCCTGGTCATATTTGAACCACCTTGTATTAACAGATTAATTTAGTGACCTGTTCTCCAAACCATACACACAAAGTATGAAATTTCTTGTCATGAAGTCTTCTTAGGCAATCACGCATGTGAAGATGGTGTTAGTGCCCAAAGTATCATGGACTGTCTCCATCATCAGGGGTTGAATCAAATTTTGAGAGATTTAACATAAAAGGTAATTGAAAATTGCCGTCTTCTGGGATATAGTTCTGTGTAGTCCATATGTGAACTGATGTTTCTGCCTAGCCACTGGCTCATGCTGGTTTCTTGCTCAGCTGACTTCTGTGCCCTGAAGATGGAGATGATATGTTCCTCCAAAAAGTTGGCTCATATACAGACTACAGGGTGCTATATCCCAGAAGATGGCAATTTTCATAACTAATGCTATGAGAACCTCAAATCCTACTAGAAAGGGTAATTATCTGTAGAAATTAATCACATTATAATATCATTAACTTATAACTGTTGCTGGTCTTATGATGACGGAGTTGGAGGCAGTCTCCACAAGGTCTGATACTACCTTCAAATTGACACAGCTGACTGACTGAGAACATTTCATCCCACACAGATGCCATGAAAGCTCTCATACCTTCAGCATACATTCAAGATCCTGCATGCTCGGCCAGAAGTGGTCCCACGGTAAACTAAGCAGACTCCCATGTACCACTCCCAGGATGTAGTCTTTGACAGCTGAATGTGCAAAACTGGCGACATAGAACTGCCATACAAAACTGAGGATATTGCTGCAGGCTGTGAGAAAAGAAACAGTTATGCTTGTATATTTAATAACAAGAAGTTCTGGAAAGAATTGCCTTGTTTCCTCTGATACAATATGGAGGACATAGAAATCGACATCTCCAAAAATTCTTCATTGCCATGGGAATGTCTTTAGCAAGCTGTCACTTAGCAATGATAGTGGAATATACAGAACCACAGACACACTTGTCCAACATGAACACGTTTAATACGCCAATGCCCAGCACTGAATGGATGGATACATTGCCTTGCAATGACAGAAGGGACACACATATAAACACAGAGACTGATGGGAGGTATCTATGAAATATGCCACTGAGATGGGCTCACTTGCCATGGTATACATACCAAGTTTCATAAAGATTAGTTCAGGCATTCATAAGTTAATAAGGGGGTTTCACAGACAGACAGCATGGTGATCTCATAACCCTAATTTTATTTTTAAAAACAAGGGAAGTATGCAACAAACTAGGGGAACTGATCACAGTCATTAGTAAAATGAATGTACGCTGCGTTCAAGGAAGGAGGAAACTTCGCTATGCTGCTGACCGCACCCAAAATTCCTCACAGATTGCTGCTGTAACTGCCGATAGCAGAATGAGTCATTAGTGCCGATAAATGCTCGCCGACAGGTGGTCTGATCTTGCACTGCAGTAAGTCGCATTAATAGTCAGTCTGTGTTAGAGGTGTCGATAGGCAGTCAACATTTATATTGAAATGAAGTTCACCATTGAACAGCATGTGTTCATTGTCGAAACTTTTGCAAGGAAAAAAGTTACAGAAATTGTATCCGTAAGTTTCGTCATTAATATCCTAACTCCCCAGTTCTGACAAAATCGTGTGTATCCAAGCTTGTGAAAAAGTGGCAGGCCACAGGTTCAGTGTGTAACATAAAGAAGCAATTGAAGAGGATTGAAGAAGACTGAAAACTGACTGAAGAAAAGGTTCGGGATATTGAGGCACGACTACAGATAAGGCCTCGAAAATCGTTAAAGATGCTTAGCACAGCAAACCAGTGTTTCGCTAGGATCTGCTTTCACAGCCACAAAATCAAATTTCACCCGTGTAAAATAACAGTTGCGCATGAGCTGAAGCAACCAGATTATGGAGCAAGAATTCGCTTTTGCAACTGGCTACTGCAAAATGTGCATGATGGAATTGTGGATCCACAGCTTCTGTTCATGACTGATGAAGCATGGTTTCACGTTAGTGGTCATGTCAATGCACAGAATGTAAGAATATGGAGCGATGAAAATCCTCAAGCTATACAGCAAGTGCCATTACATAGTGAAAAGGTGGGGGTGTGGTGTGCTGTAAGTCCTCAGCGAATCATTGGCCCTCATTTTTCAACGAAACCATGAACTCTGATTGCTACGTTATTGATATACTGAATCCGTTCTTCAAACAGCTGACTGTTGAAGAAAGACAATATGGGTATTTTCAGCAAGACAATGCTACAGTACATACAGCTAATGCATCCATGCTCACAATATGGGAAGTGTTTGAAGATAGAATAATCAGCAAGGGACTGTGGCCTCCCAGATCTCAGTTTTTGCAATTTTTATCTTTGGGGAAACCTAAAGGTAAAAAGTCTACAAGAATAATCCTCACAGCAATGAAGCTCTGCAGAATGAAATAACATGCATAATTAGTTCAATTACCGTGGACCAACTTCAGAAAGTGTCACATAATTTATTTATGCGATGCAAGGCATGTTTGCAAGCAAAAGGCGGTCACTTTTAGCACCTGTTATAAAGCAAGGTAAGTTTGTGTTATCTTTCTACAGTATTCTTATAAATGTACGGAAAATGATGTGAGGGAATAGTTACAGAGAAACGATCCATCCACTCTATGCTACCTATAAAGCAAGGTAAGTTTGTGTTATCTTTCTACAGTATTCTTATAAATGTACGGAAAATGATGTGAGGGAATAGTTACAGAGAAACGATCCATCCACTCTATGCTACCGAGAGTGTACACGTTTATCAGAGCTGAGGACTCATTCTGCTATCGGCAGTTACCGCAGCAATCTGTGACAAATATTGTATCTGACTCATGCTAGTTCCCCAGTTTCCTAGATGACTGAACGACCTGTATTAACCTGCAACAGTCTTTCTTGACATGTGGCATCTTCAACATTTATTTCAGTGCTCTCATTCCATTATTTTTGTATGTCACAGGTTGATGGAAGGGATACATTATTTAGATGAAAATTTCTCTGTGGCCTCTAACAGTTCACCATCCACAATGAATGAAGATTTTTCAAATCATTTTCAAAACTGACTTACCTGGCAAAGTGTCAAGAATGAATCGCACACACTCTGTAAACATAGACACAACACGGTGGGCATGTGGACCATCAGCTGCGATCCACGGGAGAAGGACCGAGCGATCATCAGTCAGTTGCTGTATCCAGGCCGCTGTTGGTTCCTTCAGATTTCTGGTCCAGTATGGAGCCAGCCATGGAGAGAACATTTCAGTGAGGGCTGGCCACAGTTGCTCACACACTACAATATACCACATGGTTCCACTTCATTAAATAACTCCATGCAGCAAAGTCCTCCTTGAGAAGCTGATCTTTGCTCACCTACTCAAAAAATTCCCCACTATCTACAGACCATGAAGGTTAATTAACATGTTTACAAATGATCACTTTACTGAGGCAGATGAGTCTAGTCCCCAACTGCCCTAACCTGTTTCTTCAAGATTAATTTCAAGGTTCTTCCATCTATACCCAGGTCTTCCAAGAGGTTGTTTTAACCCAAATTTTGTATATATTGTCACGTATAGGGGGTTTCTGCGTGATTTACAAGCCAGGTTTTGGATTGGATGATTGGATTTATTAACACCTTATACACTCACATAACTCAGGACTACACACAATATGCCATTATCACTATTCTACATACTTGCAAGTTCACCATCACACACAACAGGATGCTCAGCCTTCACTAGTCATATCATGGCAATGGAGTTACAGCAGTCTCGCTGTAACTTCAAATCACACATGGAGTCTTCTTTTCACCCTCTAATTCCCTTTCTTGCCCTTATTCTGCGACTACCAATTTTGAAGACTCAACTCCATGCAATTCCAAACTCATATCCTGGCAGGCTGGCATCCCGAAATGCAACTGTTCACTTCTGACTCTACTACTGTACTGTCCTATGCTGCTGAACGCTTCTTTATAATCACTCAGCATGGACCCCATTGAAAACAGTGTTCTATTGTCAAGAAGGCTTGCTTACTGACCTGTTGTATAGCGACAGATGTCCTATTGTTGAGCGAGTTTGCTTGCACAGGAATGTATTTACCAAGTTGTTACCTAGCAATGGGTATACATGTCACAACATTTCTCATCTCTTCCATGCATGCTACATGACCTTTTGCCCTTGCCAGGAATCAAACTCCAGCCATCCAGCCCATCCCCTGTCACTATACTGACTGAGCTGTATGTTACATTAGACTATAGCATTTACTGCCACAGATGTACCAGATTGCTATACCGTTTATATTTCTGTATGAAAATATTAACTGTCACCTTAACGACAAGATGTGATTACTCACCTTCACTGTCACAGTAAAACTAACTAGTCTCTAAAGGGCAAAATCTCGGTATGGAACATAACAGCCTCTCAATGAAGTAACACATGTTTTCAATGAGAATAAAGCTTGCCCTTCCCTGTGGTATTCAGCTTAACAGAACAATTTGAAATCCAAGCAAAACCAGTGACTGTTATGATCTTTGTTAAGAACGTCTCTCCCTTTTCCCTACATGGGTAAGCGGTTACAAAGTGGATTTGTAAATGCAAACACAGCAGCTAGAAGAACTAGGAAGAAACGGAAAAACCACATACACCTGAAACCAGTAATTGGAGAAACTGAAGCTGGTGAGGGAGTGCTGTATATTTCTTACAAACTCCTACTTTCTGTATGCGTATCAAAGTGCTGAACAATAGGAAATGACTTTTATGGATGTGTATCAAAGTATCAAACAATAGGAAATGACTTTTATGGATGTGTATCAAAGTATCAAATGAT